GTAAAAAAAATTTTTTTTTGCAAATAGTACCCTATTCTGCCCTCCCTCCCCCTCCCCGCAAAAAAACCTTTTTACCTGTCTTTTCATCTTTTTTTTTGCTTCTAATTATTTGTAAAATAGAATATTTTAATGAAATATTTAGTTTTCTAAGTTTTCCAAAAAGATACGATAGTTTTTTTTTTTGATTTTTTCCTATTTTAGAGCCATATTTTGGCTGCTCGAGCAGTGGCCAATACCCTCAAATCATCGCTTGGGCCACGTGGCCTTGACAAAATGCTTGTTTCGTGCGATGGTGATGTGACCATAACAAACGATGGTGCAACGATCATGGAGAAGATGGATGTGCAGCATCATGTGGCCCGTTTGATGGTTGAACTTTCGAAAAGTCAGGATGCCGAGATCGGCGATGGTACCACCGGTGTTGTTGGTAATTTTTTTTTTTTTGAAAATCCCATGTGCTGCACAGTTTTTCCATCATATAATACCGTTGACGGTCGATGAGGAAAGCTACCGGGAACACCGGGATTTCCGGGTGGATTTTTTGATGATGATTCGAATAATTCTGGACGAGATCAGAGAACAACAACAAAAAAAAAAGAGAATTGGTTTTATGCAGGATTTAGTGGTACTTGTATTGTATTATAAGGTGGGGGGAGAGAGGAGCAGGATGGGTATGTGATATCGAAAAGTGGAAAATTTAAAAAGCGCCTCCACGTTTTGCCCGCAGTGATTCATTTGTCCGAGCTTATGTTGATTTCAATCCATTACTCAGATTGATAAGAATTTCAGTCGGACAAATTTAGTTAGGTGAACTATCACTCAGCGGCAACGTTCAAGGACCCGGCAATTTTGGTGTTGTTTGACGTTTGTTTCTTCGGTTACATGGATTTCTTCGGTTTCTTTGGTTCTGACGTTTGTTTCTTCGGTTAAATGGATAGTAGAAGTAGAAGGATTCGACTTAAGTGACATGTACAAAAAGACATTTTTACGATGCAGCCTATCTGTGTTTCATCCCTTAGCTGTAAACACAGACCGGACTATGCATGCGGGTAGCAGTGGGAATCGTCAGTACAGCCTCCTACCTGCCATGTGTTTGAAGGGACATGTAACTATTTTGCAAGACGGGGACGTGAAAGAAAAAAAGTGAGAGAGAGACCTGTGATTCTCCCTGACAAAAGCATTTTGCAAGGTTTTAGCTCATTTCGATTTCCCTCTACCATCTGCTAAGTATCATACCACTTTGTCGTGGACATTTCACCCCATTTCTAGACCATGGTGGTTTCTTAGCTGGTTAAAAAGTGCTAGAAAGTTAGTTAGATGTTGCGCCGACACTTTCCTTACTGTGATTTCTATGCTGTGATCAACAGATGATCAGTTGAAGAATTCTCATTTAAAGACACGAATTCACTTTTTCCACTATTTTTGACTTTTGGGGTTTTTTTTTGAGGGGATATCTGTAGTTATTAAATAAATTAAAAGGAAAATGCCTACAAAAATAGTGA